ACTCAGGGTCTTTCTTCAACAACAAAACCATTCAAAGCTGAAACTACTCTTTCAACCACCACACCATCCATACCTTCCACTACTGTTATTGTCGAAGAAGGAAGCACAACTGCCCAACCATCTTCAGAAACATCAACTCCAAGCATAGTCTCCACAACTTCAAAATCTTCCACAGCTACTCAAACAACTGGACAACCAACAACAACTGAGACTGTAACTGGGAATGAATTGACCACAGCTCAGACACCTTTGTCCACCACCAACAGGCCACCAAAAGTGGAGACGACTGGCCTAACAAGCCAACCAACGACTACAGCAACAACCACTTTAGAAGAGGTAACAGGCACATCATCTGAAACATCAACATCTACAAGCACAGCCCTGCCAGTGTCACAAACTTCATTGCGAGTTGTTACATCCACACAGCCAACAACGCTGACAATGACTACTGCTGTACCAGTCACTACCCTTGTGTACACAACAGTGAGTGTAGAATCATCCACTGGGTCTGAGGTTACCACTCAGGGTCTTTCTTCAACAACAAAACCATTCAAAGCTGAAACTACTCTTTCAACCACCACACCAGCCATTCCATCCACTACTCTCAATGTCGAGGAAGGAAGCACCACTGCCCAACCATCCACAGAATCATCAGCTCCAAGCATAGTCTCCACAACTTCAAAAGCAACAACCACTTTAGAAGTGGAAACTTCTTTCGAAACAACTAAAACAGTGTATATTTCAACTATTTCACCAATTTCCACTCAAAATGTTTTCTACTCATCCACATCCATGGAGACCTCAGTTGCTCCCATTACACAAACATTACCATCATTTACTAAGACCCATCCAGTGACCACAACGTCCTCTTTTTTCTCAACCACTTCTGTTGTTTGTTGTTTTGTCAATGGCACACATTTTCAATCAGGTACAAAATTCTCATTTAATTTAAATTTTTGTATTATTTAAGAATCATAAGAAAAGCTGAAAATTTGTAACTGTTTTGTTTTCAGGTGATATCATTTACAATGTTACTGATGGCTCTGGTTGGTGCTTCACTGCATACTGTAATGCATCTTGTCATATTGTGAAGATTTCAACATCATGTGAAACCTCTCCATCACCATCCATTCCTCCTGAAACAACCACATATTCCAGTTCAACAACCATAAGTTCCCCAGAAACAACACAGCCTGCCACAACTAATACAGGCACAGAAGTAACAACTACAACCTATGGGCCTAAGTGTGACGCACTTGATCCACCAAGACAGGTATATCTTCAAATATTAGTCTTTTGTTTCATAGGTTATGGAATACAGACATGGCCCTCCTTTTTTGCATATGTTAAATGTCAGTGGGAACAAGATATTACCAAAACGAAATGTTAAATATTTGCATCTGGCAGATGTTTTTATCCAAAGCAACTTACATTTCACTCAGTTTGTTTAAGAATGTAATTTTTTTGATAATTAGTGCATTTAATAATAATATTCCAGTAAACTAACAGAAACAGATGTTAATCAGACTCTTGATTATGTGTAATTGGTTTGCAGATCACGGAAAAATGCCTGAACAATTAATTAAGATTTGAATGGATGTGTCAATGTGTCAACTGCAGAATTTAGTGAACAGAATTCAATGAACCATTTCAGCTTCCCATTTATGAAAACGTGATATATTTGATGAGTGTTTTTTTTTTTTGGTTTTGCAGCCCAATGATACTTGGCAGAGTGGATGTCAAATGTGTGAGTGTGAGAGTGAAACCCTGACGGTCCGTTGCCAGCCTGTAACTTGTCCTGTTTCACCACCTGTTACTTGCGATAAGCCTGGACAAGTGCTTGTGAACACAACAATTGACTGCTGTGAGATCCATGAGTGCAGTAAGTGATCTGAAAACAAGAAAACGGGGACTCAGAAGGACTTTTTAAAACAGATTACAGAAATACTATTAATTTGATATATTTACTAGGTTTTAGTTATTCAGTCATACTAGTGGTTTTCAACTGATGGCTTCAAAAAAATTAGGTCCCAACTTAAGCAAACGATGGGTCTTGATTTTACCCTTGTACTGTTTAAACAGCAGAAAGTTAGACTAAAAATTTGAAAAATTGATTGTAGAAATGCCTGTACATTTACAATGAAATGCTGAACAAAAATGTTTAATATTATTCTACAGGTTGTGATGTGAACCTGTGCCCTATTCCGACAATACAATGTCCACTGGGCTTTATACCATCCTTCAGCGTGTCTCCAGATAACTGCTGTCCAGAGTATATTTGCTGTATGTATATGGACCAGTTGTTCTCAGAAAAGATACTTTATTGTTTTGATGCTCTGTGATGCACTCATTCATTTCTTAATTTTTACAGCACCCATGGAAGTCTGTGTCCATAATACCACAGTGTATCAGGTAAAATGAGATATTACTTCATTTTATATATATATATACACAAGATATCAAACGTATACTTATTCCCTCTCTCTATCTTCGTCTCTAGCCTGGCTCAACTATACCAAGCGATGACCCTTGTACGCTTTGTCAGTGTGGTTGGAATGTAGATCCTGAAACAGAACTTCTTGCTCCAGAGTGTGTGATAGCTGACTGCAACAATAACTGTCCAGAGGTATAATCGTCTATTTCCGTCTTCAATAAAGACTAGCGGAGTCGGGTTACAAATGCCACCATTTTAGAAAAAGCATAACAAACCATGTGAAGCATAGACATGCACCTTTAAAAGAAGTCAGTGCTCAGTTATCGATCAACTACTAGGCAATGTGATGTATTTCTTTGTTTTTTTTTTTTGCTTTAGGGTCACGAGTACCAACTCATTCCTGGTCAGTGCTGTGGAGAGTGTGTTAGCACCGATTGTGTGGTTATGCATGACAACATCACAGTTACCGTTTCAGTAAGTTCTGACATGATACTTATTTTAGCATTTTAACACTTGCATTGTAAAGTGCATTTTGTACGATCAAATTAATGACATTTTAAATGTTTGCTTTAAGTATTCTTTGTATACCTTCTCCACTAACAGGTTGACCACATATGGCAACCATCTAATGACAAATGTGTGAAATACAAGTGTGAGAGAGTCAACGGTAACTCAGTGACAGTTGAGATTAAGACCACTTGCCCTGCCTTCAATCCTGAGAATTGTATCCCTGTAAGTGGCTTGAAAGAGACAACTTAATATCTTAAATTTAAGACTGTTCAATGGTTAATGCTTTTTCTTTTTCTACAGGGAACAGAGACAATAGATGCAGATGGCTGCTGTCAAACCTGTGAGTCTGGAACATTTAAAAAGCATTACTCAATAATTGCTAAATATGTTAATGAGAGTTAAATATCACTCTTAAAAATGCATTTATGTTCTGTTTGAATCATGACTCGTGAAAATGACGGGTAATGCCATTTAGAATGACATCTGATGCCACTATCTGAACACCCTTTCTAGGAGCAAAATAACTTAATTTAAAAAGAAAATACTACTACTGAACAGTGCTGGGTAGATTACTTGCAAATTGTATTCCGTTACTGATTCTACTCAGCACTGCTACTGAACTTGCCGAAAAACTATTTCAGGTCATATAAAGTGTAGAATTATATTTTCTAACACATACTTAATGTGTTTCTCATTTCCCTTAGGTACACTGGACAACAAATGTAATGTCCAGAAGAACAGCACCTTCATGGCCAGTAATGGCTGTATAAGCAGCACACTTGTGGAAATAACCTCTTGCTCAGGCTTGTGTGAGACCTCATCAATGTGAGTACCAAAATCACAATTTAGAGATCTTCATTTATAAATACATGTAGTTTTTGTGCCACAAATTGTACCGTCTGTGCTGGTACTTAACAACCGAACCGTCATTGTATGTTGAAACAGATACTCTGCAGAAGCGAACGCTCTTGTGCACTCATGCTCGTGCTGTCAGGAAATGACAACCACCAAGAAGGAAGTGACCCTGACTTGCCCCGATGGGTCAAACATCAGCCACACTTACATTTACATTGAGTCTTGTGGCTGCAAGGCCTCCGATTGCTCTGGTCAGTCGACTTCCTTAAGGAGACGCCGAAGGAGATTGTGAACCTGCGTTCTTAACCCCGAACAGTAGAGTGGTTTCAAATGAATCTTATGGAATAAATCTGTAAATTTTAATAGCATGAAATGTTTGTGATAATTATCTCTATGGTGACATGACAGCATTTTTGTTTCTTGTCTAGTAGCTCTTAATAAACTAGTGCAAACTGAAGTTTGTTTATATGTTGTCATTTTTCTGGAAAACGGCAATGGTTTCAATGCTCTGTGAATGGCATGGTGGAAAGGATTCGGTCACAGTTGTGGATTCACAATGTAAAGAATGATTCACTTTTGCAACCCATAGCCATTGCTCATGCCCTTATAAACTATATATTTTAGTCTAATTACATTCAAACTGGTGATAACTGGTGCGTTAGTTAGAGCAATATGGCAACTATAGCCTTTTCATTTAGGTTTACTTCTATGCATTTAGCTGACACTTTTATCCAAAGTGACATAATAGAAAAACAACAGCAATTCATCACAGAGCCAACAACAATCACAGTGTGCAATGTCAGGTTTATTATAAAGCTAGATTAATAAACAAGCTAGCGCAGAGGAGAAAAGCAAAGAACATTTTTTAGTTTTGCTCCAAGTGCCATTTACTCCAAAACAATAGAAGTTTAACTTGCAACTGTACTGTGCAATAACAGGCAATGTGCGTCATATATTTGTCAATATCATGGGCTGCTATTAGGCATTTCACACTTACCAGATATTCTGTGCTTGTAATGGTCATAAAGTGGTTTGTGCACAAACGAGCCATTAAAATGATGACATTAATTCTGATATCTCTTTAATCATCTTCAAAATAAATTATATCCATGTACATTTATGTAACTAAATTCATACAGATAAAAGCATAATACAGTATATCAAACATCTTTAAGACATGGGATCACTACAATACAGATATGGTATACTGCCCTCAGCGGACATATGACAAGCTACTCCTTTGCAAAAATCATCCTACATTCTCTGTAACGCCCCAGAAACATTCATTCTGAATGCTGATTTAAAGACAATTAAAAGTTTGTTAGATTTACTTGCTACTGTTAAGGGTTGATAGACTTCAGTGTGCATATTTACAGGGTTTTTTTTGGTATAAAGTTTTACATTGTTGGTACATTTAAGCGCTAGCTGTGTGGCAGTTCTGCAGTTAAAGCTCCTCGGCCATCTGTAGCAAGGAGTTTATGGCAGCATCCTTGTTGCCCTGTTGGGCCTCCAAAACGGTGCGGATCACCTCCTTGTCGAGGTTGGGAAACATGTCCTGAAGGGCTTTAAGGTCTTCTTCACCGCAGGGGGCGCTCTGTGACGTGACTGCAGCCACGGCTGGCATTCCCATGGGCACCACACCTTGGTTATACATACCAGGGACACCTAAATACACATTTGGACAAAAGCGTACATTTCGTGTTTTGTTTTTATCATTAAAGGCTGTATTTAACTGTGCACAGGCAACCATTTTAGAGTCTTAATCTCCCAAACAGAACAGGTTTGCTTACTCATTTCAACCCTGCAAATCTGACATGACATTTATTTATTTATTTTTTTGAAAGTTCATTGAATCTTTAGACAAACATTTGCGTATGTGTTTTTTGTTTTTTTTAATCAGAGGCTGAAACTGAGCAAAAATATGCGATTTGGTGCAGATGCTGATATTTATACTGCCAAAAATTAAGATGAAATTTTGATAGTTTGTGATGTAAATCAATGAGGTCTTTATAACAGTATAGCAGACAACCTACATAAAATGATATATCAGTTGTCACTCTATATCTCCAATAATATGTCTTAGTAAGATGATACTTAAAAAACTAAAATAAAAATAACTATAGGACAGGAAGAGCTAAATAAACTTATCACTGCATCTAAACCAACAACATGTTTATTAGATCCTGTACCCACTAAATTACTTTAAGAGTTGCTGCCTGTAGCAGAAGAACTGTTCTCAATATTATTAACTCGTCGTTATCTCTAGGTCACGTCCCAAAACCATTCAAGCTGACGGTTATTAGGTCTCTTATTAATAAAACACAACTAGATCCTAGTGATCTGGCAAATTACAGAGCCATGTCAAATCTTCCGTTTATGTCTACAATTTTAGAAAAAGTTGTGTCTGCTCAATTACGCTCCTTCCTTCAAAAAAATTATATCTATGAAGAATTTCAGTCAGGTTTCAGAGCCCATCATAGCATAGAAACTGACTTGCTTCTTGCATCCGAACAAGGCTGCATCTCATTGCTAGTTTTACTTGATCTTGGTGCTGCGTTTGACACTATAGATCATGACGTACTCATAGATCGATTACAAAACTATACGGTTATTTAAGGGCAGGCTTTAAGATGGTTTAATCCTACCTGTCCGATCGCTATCACTTTGTCTATTTAAATGGGGAATCATCTCAATTAACGCCAGTAAAGTATGGAGTCCCACAAGGATCTGTCCTAGGCCCTCTGCTATTCTAAAAGTCCATCAGATGACAAAAAGCATGTAGAAAATAGATTGTGTGAAACAGGCATTTCAGCAAAATTTTGATAATTTAAAGGCCTTAGAAATTTGTGTACCAAATATGATATAGTAGGGTTAAACATGATGAAGGGCCCTAAAACAGCATGAATATAGCAGTGGCTGATCGATTTATTATGTCAGTGTTATACATACCTGCTATGGGCACATATCCAACGCCCTGTTGATAAACTGTAGGCATCAAAACCACAGGCTGCGGCTGCATCATCATTCCTGCTGGTATTGACTTTGACAAAAAAAATAAAAATAGAGAGAAAAATAGACATTCGATTAAACAAACGTTGACATGCTCTTTTTTTGAAAGAGTTACTGTTCTTATATGTTATATCAGTTTACAGTGCATATACTTTTAGAATTTTCATGCATGTCCTGAGCAGGTCATTTGTACAGGCAACAAGTAATTTGACTGTCCACACTGAAAGCAAAAGCAGAACACAACATATGCATACCTATCACAATTGCATTGGTTTACAAAGTTGAAAGGCAACAGCATTTCTCTTGTAACACCTGTTTAAGATGCACCATTAACACACAGGAGTATTTTGTGAGTGAGGACTTACAGCAAAGGACATGACAAGATTAATCATGCCTTCTTTGTCATCACCCTGCCTTCCGCTCAAGCTGTACCATTCATCCACGACGGTTCCCTCTCGCAGACTCTCTGGGATCGTCACGTGTGTCCATGCGATGCGATCATCCATGGAAAACGCTCTCTGTCCGGCAACACAGAACAATCAACAGTTAAGATCAGCTACTGCAAGAAAAGTCACCTTTACATGCAGGATTTCAGGATATAAAAATTCATGATTTAAGATTGTTATTTTGGCACAGCTACCGTTATTATTACAATTTTGAAAAAGCTTTAATTTTTATATTTTCTGTTTTCATTTTAAAGTTTTAGTAAATAAATTGTGTCAATTGTGCCATTTTTTGTTTGTTTCTTCGCCTACATCCAACATCCGCTGAAACATCATTATTTTGTGAACGCATGTATGACAATTAGCGGAAGCTAGAGATGAAATATGGATATTTTTCTTACACAAATGCATCGATTTGCTTCAGAAGGCCTTTATTGTCCCTTTGGAGCCATGTGGAGTACTTTTTATGATGGATGGATGCACTTTTTTGTGCTTCAAAATCTCGACCCCCATTCACTGCCATTATAAAGCTTGGAAGAGCCAGGACATTTTTAAACATAACTCCGATTATATTAGTCTGAAAGAAGAATACACCTAGGATGGCTTGAGGGTAAGTCATGGGGTAATTTTTGGGTGAACTATCCCTTTAACTATAGTAACCCTGGCATGCCGTAATGGATTTTTTTCTTCCATACTATGGAAGTCTATGGCTACCAGAAACTCTTTGGTAATCAACATACTTCAAAATATCTTCCTTTGTGTTCAACAGAAGAAATAAATTCATACAGTTTTGGAAAAACTTGAGGGACAGTAAATTATGACAGTATTTGTTTTTGGGTGAATTATTGCTTTAATGTGACTAGAATATGACTAAAATATCAAATTAATGTTAACTAAATATGACAAAAACAAGGACATGTAACACAAAACTAAGCTATTAAAAATAGCTGGAAAAGGAATACAATTTCGAACCACTTTGAAAAGTAAATGATTCAAAACTTTCAATTATTTTGTCGTCTCTTTTTTTTAAAACAAATAAAGATTCTGGTATTTTTTTGTTTTTAATTACATTTTAGTTGTATCTTTTCCTGTCAACAATACAGAATATTGATATAGTCACAGTTATCGTTAAATGACATCAGTGTTGTCTCATCATAGTCATGGAAAAAAAAAAGGTTGTCAATAAACATTTTTCATCTTACTTTTCATAAAAAACTAATTATATATTAGAGGTCGACCGATAGTGGATTTTGCCGATACCGATAGCTAGGTTGGACCACACTGGCCGATACCGATTAATTAACCGATAGTTTTAAAATGGATACTGAACAAAAACTAAAATATTGCTTTATTAACAAAAACAGTACTGAACCACTAGTAGTAAATTTTTTTTTAAATAATAGTAATAGTAAATGTTGAAATTAACACTAACAAGGAACAATACTTACACAGCTTTCATTAATCTTAATGCTACAAATGGACTCTTATTTGAAAGTGTTACCATTTCATTTTAACTGTCATGCTTAAAGATGCACATCTTTAAATATATACACAAAGGCTATAGCATTAAAATTATATACATATGGATATTGTATGTATACTCTCACACTGGTGAACTATCCCTTTAACTATAGTAACCCTGGCATGCCGTAATGGATTTTTTTCTTCCATACTATGGAAGTCTATGGCTACCAGAAACTCTTTGGTAATCAACATACTTCAAAATATCTTCCTTTGTGTTCAACAGAAGAAATAAATTCATACAGTTTTGGAAAAACTTGAGGGACAGTAAATTATGACAGTATTTGTTTTTGGGTGAATTATTGCTTTAATGTGACTAGAATATGACTAAAA